CACATATCTAACAACTTTCATGGCAGTGTTGAGATGGGATTGTTTGGGCTGATGCATAAATTGACTGAGCAATTTTACTGCAAAACTTAAATCAGGTCGGTGAGGCACAAATATAACAGCTTGCCAATCAACTTTTGATAGACTGAAGGATCACTTAAGATGGGATCAAACTGTCCAGGAAAGGTTTGATCATACTCCACAGTTGTAAGCTTCAATTGAGGGTTAAGTGGAACCAAAGTGGGCTTAGAAGCTGCTAGACCAGATTCAACTATCAATTCCAAGGCATACTTTCTTTGACAGAGAGTTATACCTTTGGAAGAGCGAGCCACTTCAAAACCCAAAAAGTATCTAAGAGATCCCAAGTCTTTGAGTTTAAAATTTGAATGCAATAGATCTTTAGTGGCTTGAATCATAGAAGCATCACTCCATGTAATCACCAAATCATCAACATATACAAGAAGAATAATAATATCACCATTATGCTTTTTAAAGAAAAAAGAATGATCGGAAGGGGACTGCTGAAAATCTCTTGCTAACAAGGTAGTGGTGATTTTGGTGTTCCATGCTCGAGAAGCTTGTTTCAAGTCATAAAGTGACTTGTGCAATTTACAAACTAAAGGTTGAGCATGTGTATTGGAAAAACCTTGCGGCAAATTCATGTATATTTCTTCTTGAAGATTCCCTTGCAAAAAAGCATTATCAACATCTAAATGAAAGAGAGGTCAAGCTCTCAAGGAGGCAATAGCCAAGACTAATCTCACTATCACCATTTTCACCACAAGAGAAAAAGTCTCCTTATAATCAATTCCCGCCCTCTGTGTAAATCCTTTGGCCACCAATCTGGCCTTATACCTGTCTAGAGTCCCATCAGCTCTATACTTGAGTTTATATACCCACTTACACCTTATTGGAACCTTACCTAGTGGTAGAGAAACCAAAGACCATGTCCCATTTCTTTCCAAGGCTTGAATTTCTTGTTGCATGGCTGCAACCCAATTGGGATCTTTGGATGCTTGGGTGAAAGAATTTGGTTCAGTAAGTGAAGATATCTTTGGTAGGTTAGGGAAAGATGATTGTAGGTTATGCAATTGTGAATATGATATTTGATAGTAGGGATCAGATTTGATTGTGGCAGAGTGGGACACACAAAATCAGTTGTCCAAATAGGTGGCTTAGAGGTTCTACTTGATTTGCGAAGTTGGTTGTGTGAAGGGGAAGAGACAGTAGGTACAGTTGAAGGTAAAACAGGGGCTACAGGGTTAGATACATCAAGTTCTGTCTCATGATAAGTATCCAAATCAGAGGATGGATAAACTAGCTCTTCTTCCATAAAATTCTCAAAAGGAAATAATGGTTTACTGGACTGATGCATAAGGAAGGGAAATTTTTTTTCATGGAAGACAACATCCCGGCTAACACTCACTGTTTTGGATTGCAAATCATATAGGATATATCCTTTCTTATAGGCCGAATAACCAAGGAAAGCACATGGGATTGACCTTGGTGCAAATTTACCTTGAAAAGTTAGATTTGTAACATACGCTAAGCAACCAAAAACTCTCAAATGATCTAGCTTAGGTTGATGGCCATAGAACTTCTCAAAAGGTGAAAGACCATTCAAAACCTTGGTAGGCAATCTATTGATAACATAAATTGCCGCTTTTACTGCATAACCCCATAAAAATTCTAGAATTTGGGACTGAAACTTGAATGCTCTAGCAATGTTGAGGATGTGCCTATGCTTGCGCTCTATTACTCCATTTTGTTGTGGAGTGTAGACACAAGTACTCTGATGTATAATTCCTAAGCTAGACAACAATTCTTGGCAATTTTGATTAAAGAATTATGTTCCATTGTCTGTTCTAATAGACTTGGGGGTTCTATTGTACTGATTCTTTATCATGATCAGAAAATTCTTCAATGTGTGATACACATCGGCTTTAAACTGCATAAGAAACAGCCATGTAGTTCTAGTATGATCATCTACCACAATAAGGAAATACCTTGCATTACCTTGTGTTGATACCTTGTAGGGTCCCCAAACATCTAGATGCAATAAATCAAACACATTTGATGTAGTTGTCTTACTTAGACTAAAAGATAATCGGGTTTGTTTGGCCAGGGGACAAACTTCACAATGAAACTTTTCTTGAACTAAAATTTCAGGATTTATAGTTTGCAAAGTGGGTAATGAAGCATGCCCCAATTGTCTATGCCAAAGGACAATATCTTTAATATTCAAAGACCTTTTCATTGATGAACCAATATGAGCATCAACAGAATTTGTAGAATTACAAAATATCTCCTTATTACAATCAAATTCGCATATGCCTAATGCTTTTCTTAAAGTTGGAGCAAAATCATGTAAACAATCTTTTGTTTTGGAGATAAGGATGAAATGATACAACCCTTGGCATAGCTTACCAATCCCCCTCAGTTTGCCACTCCAAAGGTCCTAGACAATGCAAAAATCCAGATAAAAAATGATGGAGCAATGACTTGAAGATGTCAATTTAGATACTGATAGCAAATTGTATTTGAAATCAGGTAAATATAAGACTTTCTCAAGCAGTAAGTCTTCTTGTAATCGAACTGATCCAATATTCCTAATTGAAGTTTTACTGCCATTTGGGAGACCTATGAAGCTATTCATGGACGATTAACTAGCTATGGTAGATTCAAAATTACGGAAGTCATGGGTCATATGGTTTGTGGCCCCTGAATCTAATATCCAATTATTCACATTATCAAGACTTGAACATAATGAGATGGTCTTACTTGCCAAATTGGTTGATGGTGTTGTTAGATTCTCCTTTCCCAGCAGCTGCAGCAGTTGAGCATACTGTTCTGGAGTTAGTACATTTCCCAGGTTAGCTCCTCCTTTAGCACCATCAGTAGCAACTTCAGTATTCAACAATTGCGACTGTGATCCTTGCTCCAGACTTGGTTGACCTTGGTTGGCTTTAGCTTTCATTCTAGATTTCCCCTTGGTAAATTGAAAATCAGCTAGGTATCCATGAAGTTTGTAGCAGGTATCTCTCTTGTGTCCAGGTGCATGGCAGTAATCACATTCAATGTAAGGTTTTTTCCTTTATATTTAGAATTTTGGCCTGAATTTCTTTGGTTGCCTTGTGAATATAATGTTGTGGTAACGTCAGTAGCCTGATTGTGTCCTGTTAACACATTTTGACTCTCATCCTGGCTTACTATAGAATAAGCTTGATTCACAGATGGCAAAGGCACCATTAACAATATTTGACTTCGAACCATTCCATAAGAATCATTTAGTCCGATCAGAAATTGTAGCAGTTTCGGCTGATTCAAGTGAGCTAAATAAGCTTTGGCCGAGTCACTATCTGGCGGTGGTAAACTTACCAGTGAACTCAATTCATCCCACAAAGTCTTGAGTTTGTTATAATAAGCAGCCAACGAGTTTGTTCCTTACACCAGATTGGCTATCTCCCTGTGAATCCCAAACACTCTTGTTCCATTTATCTTGTTATATTGCTCTTGCAAGTCCTGCCATACTTGATGAGCGCTGGTTGAATAGACGATACTATTGAAAATCTCCTTCGACATTGTATTAAAAATCCATGCAAGAACTAAGGAGTTACAGCGCTCCCATTGAGCATGCAACGATTGATCAAATTCGGACTTCTCACAAGATCCATCTACAAACCCTAGCTTATTTTTGGTTCTCAAAGAAACTGTCATGGCGCGACTCCATATTCCATAATTCTTTGTACTAGTGAGTTGTTCCGAGACCAAGATTGAACCAGGAGTGTCTGATGGATGAACGTAGAGAGGAGATCCACAATCAGTGATATTCGACATCTTATATCTCAATTTGTATCTCTGCTAAAATTGGGCGAAATTGACGATTTGAAGAAAAAAATTGAAGAAGAAAGAAATCAAGATTGAGAAGAGCATCACTTCGGATTTGGGCTGGTTCTCTTTAAAATCGATTCAACATTTTAGAAGCCTGCTCTGATACCATGTTTCAATTCAGAGAAAAAGATGAATATCTTTCAACGTTATTATTTTGGCTGTAAAGCTATAGAGGAGAAAGAAGATACAATATTCTTTTATATACACTTTTAAGTAAACCATAGTTAAACCAACTAATTACAATTACCAACTAACTATAGTTAAACTAACTGACTCACTAACTAACCACAACTGTAAGAACAATAACTCAAATACAATAATCGAAGACTACTTTATTAGCCATTGATGAGAGACTCAAACTCAAGACTTTTTGAGTAAGATATCCAAAAATCTTTATATAGATTATTCTCCTAAAAACATTAAAAAAAGAAAAAGAAAGAAAAGCCATAATCCTTGCTAAAACAAACAAAATCAGGAATTATTATTGAAAAAAGGGGAAAAGGAAAAGAGATATTATCTTTTTAAGAATGCAAGAAAATTGTAATATGAAACTCAAAGATGATTGTTACATTTTCTTAAAGAAAAAGAAAAACTGAAAGATGATTATTAAAATAGATCTCCATGGCAAATAAAGCCAACAACTTTCCCTTTCTCTTTCGGTTTTTGGACTACATAGTACATACCCATTAAATTTATAGCTCTTGTCTTCATTAACTACTTCTTCTTCCTCTTAACCGCATTTCTGTCAATATGTTTTCATATCGTAGTATTACTATCTTTCCATATCTTTTTTAACTATAAATTCTTTAGTTTACAACTTTATCCTCATGTCATGTGAAGGGAGACCGGGGCTATCGATTAATTCAAATGGACTTTCCAAAACTATAAATAGGCTTAACTAATGGGGGCCCAAGCCCAAGCCCAACTTCAATAAATATCTCTATCACTTTCTGTTAGTGGAGCGGAGTGGAGTAGGGAATGGTATGATGCCGGGGGGACCAATTGAGAGTAAAACAAAAGAGAAATAAGTGCTGTTGTGAGGCGAAGCTGCTTCATAATTTCCGATAAATAAATACATGAATGAAATCCAGAGTCTAGAGACATAACATCCTGAGACCCGAAAAAAAGAAAATGTATGTGACAAAGCCTCTTTCTATGTTAAAAAAGTCTCCTGCTGCTCTCTCAGAGCCTCCTCCAGAAGGTCCAAATTCTGGGATTTTGGTTATCCAAGATGAAGAAACGCCTACTTGTTGTTTTGGACTCTCTAGGGATGATAAACTTCAAAACTTGCCTTTCCCTCAAAACAAAAACCTGACTGCTTCTCACTTTACGGGCGCCACTGAAGAGAGTGGTAACCAATACTCTCGTGACAGTGTTATTCTCATTAGAGAGTGGTAACCAATACTCTCGTGACAGTGTTATTCTCATTCCGGTTGTTAATCAACCACTATCTTCCAATAAGTACTATGCAATTCAACCGCGTGGAAAGCATAAAGGGTATGTGAAATTTAACTTAATTTTACTTTCCATTAAAATATGCATCAAGGATCTGTCATGCCATTTTTTGCTTCTGTTACGTATTAAACAACTTTCTTAATCAAGTGGATTAAAGGTTATAGAACTTAAACCTGTAATTGCTTTTTGCTGAGTGATGATAACATTTAATATTGGATGGTCATAACACTGATATATTGAATAAAAAGACTACCTAATTTCCATGCTCAGACTAGTTGAATTACAAGTAATTCTGCAAACTGGGTTTCAGGGAAGCATTCACAAACTCAAAGGAGGAGGACAAGGTCACATGCTGTTGCTGCAGCTTTGTTTCAGACAAAAAACCGCAGCCTTTTGATCCCGAAAATATTTATCAGCAAATTGAGATTTGTGCTCAAAAACGGGGTGGCTTTTCCTCTAAATCAGTTGCTCCAGATGGTTTTCCACCAGAGTTTTTGAGACATAAACGATGGGATATGACAGCAGAAACTCCTGATGATTTCGAGTTACATGAAGCACCAGGCCTTGATTCTACCCTCCGTGCGCGCCTTCCAGATTTCAACTTCCCATTACCAAATAAGGCTTCTAAATCTGTGGTTGTGGGAAAATGGTACTGTCCTTTCATATTTATTAAAGAAAGTAGTCTAAAACAGCAAATAAAAAACTCAATGTACTATGAGATGACACTTGAGCAAAGATGGGAACAAATATTTGCAAGCGAAAATAGTCATAACAGGGAGAATGTTGTGGTTGTGGATGTTGCTGTTCCAACAGAAGTTGTGTCATTTGGTGGGGTTGAGGGTGTGCCTGATGAGAAGAATGTGGTTGATGGGATGATGTGGTTTAAAAGTTATAGCAACGCGGGAGGAGAACTAAGTGTGGGATTGAGTACACTTATCATTGAGAGAATGAAATGGGAGGAAGAAAGATTTGGGTGGGTTGGAGGGAATGAAAAACAAGTGAGAGTGAAGAAAGTAGAAGAGTTTGGAGGAGTTGGTGAGTGGAGGAACTTTGGTTGTTATGTATTGGTTGAGAGATTCAAATTGAAGAGAATGGACGGGAGCTTGGTTTTAACTTACGATTTCAAGCACACACATCAGATTAGGAGCAAATGGGAATGATAATTTTGGCTCTTCTTTTGCTTTACCCAGAAGTTGCACTTTGTCTTGTTTCTGTGTGTATTATGATGCGTAACAGACTGTTGAACTTTATTGTTTATTCCATTTGTATCTTTTGATGGTAAAGTTGTTGAAGGAATAAAGAGTTTACTTTATCTCTTTGTTGCTGTATACAAACATTATGACCATCTTATCAAAATGATAAAGATACTGTCATTTCAAAATGATTCTGTTGTTCTGTTAACTTTTTCAGATATATATGCTTTACTTTCCCAGAGTAGGGAAGAAATACAGAGTTACCTGTTTCTAATGTTTTAGAGGTTAAAAAAAAAAAAAAAAATAAATAAATAAATTGTTGGCAAAGTTGATTTGACAAGCTACTTTTGAGTTCACAGTTTGCAAGGAGGGCTTCCTTCTCAACTTTAAGTCACTTTTGTTACCATATAAACAAGTAATAATTGATGGCAGAAGTATAAGAGTGTCAAACGCTTAAAGGCCAGCTAAGTTTCTTAGAGTGTCCTCCTCTGAATTTTTGATAAATTGGAGAAGTCTAAGTCTTTGTAAGGAAACAAGTCACTGCTAAACTGATAAAGAACATGGAGAACTCAAACAAAACAATCAAGAACACCAGGATTTACTATGGTTCAGCTTTACATACATTGCTGTTGATTAAGAATGCACTTTGAACAAGAAAGTTAAAAAGGTTACAGTGCTTTTTGTATTTTGTACCTAATCTACCTCAAATCCCAGGTACAACCACTCGAATCCAATCTGTTGTTTTTGGAATTTTCAGTATGCAGATAAAGTGAACACGAGAGATCTGGCTTTATACTCGGTAGTTCCAAATAGAACTTTATAACTAATATACAGTAAACTAAACTTTGGCTATGTTGAGACACATCACCACAGTCTTCATTATGCATTCACTACCCAGATAGAACAAAAAGTGATGAGTTGTGGTTTGAAATTGGATGAGATCAATTGTTTATAAAAAAAATAAACTGGCGTTGAACATTTAATTGGGTGAACTTCAATCCTCTAATGTGAAAGACAGAAGCAAATACAGAGCATCGAAAAAACGCTTTGAAAATTGAATTGAGTTTCCGCGTTATGAAGCTGAACAAAAGACCATGGGCGGGGAGCTAATGTTATTCAGCAATCATACGAGTCCATCTTGTTAGAGTTGTCGACTACTTCAGCATTAATGGGTAACGGAGACGCACTCGGAGGTCCCATTGCCTGGTCAGCGGACGGGTGCCCCGCTCCCCAGTGAGCGGGCAGGGGTTGCGGGGGCAACGCCCCCGAGCCCGTAGGCGGTTTTGGGCTTTTCCATGTATAACCGCTGTAGGATTTCTTTTAAGTTATTAATTCCTTTTTGGATTGGGCTTAAGAATAGGAATCCATGTAAAACTAGGTTTAATCTCTTAAACCTAATATATAAACATACTTTTCTCTTATTATGAGTGTGAGAGCAATTCATTCATTGTAAACGAGAGAAGTGAGACATATTTTAATAATATTGACTCAGTTGGACGTAGCTCACATTAGATGAACCAGGGTAAATCGCGCATATAATTTTTTTGTTTACTGTTTATTTTGTTTTCCTATTATTATTTTGCTCCTGTTGCTTCTCTATTTCGTTCATATCTCAGTTGCAAGAAAGACACCTGCTTCTTCCAGACTCGATGATTGACAACGTAATGGGTCAACTTTTGAATATGTACATCTCAAAGTTTCTGCATATCATAATAAAAATCAACATCTGCTATTCCATAAAACAGTCAATGACTTGTCTGAGTTGTTACGCAGTTGAAATTTCAACATCTTCTTTGAGATAAATAGACGAAATTAAGAGATAAAATAGCTTGCAATCAAAAAGCACATAGGTCAAGAAATTTTGAGAAAAATGTATGTGACAAAGCCTCTTCTATGTTAAAAAAAATCTCCTTCTTCTCTGTCATCGCCTCTCCAGAAGGTCCAAATTCTGGTATTTTGGTAATCCAAGATGAAAGGCCACTTCTTGTTTTGGACTGTGCGAGGATGATCAACTAAAAAGCTGCCTTTCCCTCAAACAAGAACCTAACTACCTTCTTTACTACTTCTAAGGGACTGGTGCCGTAGTCATCAACAACCCTGTATTCTCATTCAGTTATTGAAAACCACTATCTTCGAATCAGTACTATGCAATTCAACCACGTGGCAAGCATAAAGGGTATTTATATTTTAATTTTTCTGCATATAAGGATCAATCATGCCATTTTTAATAACATGTAATTCTGCAAACTGGGTTTCAGGGAAGCATTCACAAAACTCAAAGGAGGAGGACAAGGCCACATGCTGTTGCTGCAGCTTTGTTTCCGATAAAAAGCCGCAGCCTTTTGATCCCGACAACATTTATCAGCAAATTGAGATTTGGCTCAAAACGGGGTGGTGGCTTTTGCCAAATCAGTGGTTCCAGATGGTTTTCCACCAGATTTCTTGAGAAGAAAAGGTTGGGGAATGACAGCAGAAACTAGTGATGATTTCGAGTTAAGTGAAGCAACAGGCCTTGATTCTACCTCCGTGCGCGCCTTCCAGATTTCAACTTCCCATTACCAAATAAGGTTTCTAAACCTGTGGCTGTGGGAAAATGGTATTGTCTTTCATATTTATTGAAGAAAGTAGTCTAAAACAGCAAATAAAAAACTCAATGTACTATGAGCTGACACTTGAGCAAAGATGGGAACAAATATTTGCAAGTGAAAATAGTCATAGCAGGGAGAATGGTGTGGTTGTGGATGTTGTTGTTCCAACAGAAGTGGTGTCATTGGTGGGTTGAGGGTGTGCCTGATGAGAAGAATGTGGTTGATGGGATGATGTGGTTTAAAAGTTCTATCAACGCGGGAGGGAGAACTAAGTGTGGGTTTGAGTACACTTATCATTGAGAGAATGAAATGGGAGGAAGAAAGATTTGGGGGGGGTAGGAACTGGAAACAGGTGAGAGTGAAGAAAGTAGAAGAGTTTGGAGGAGTGGTGAGTGGAGGAACTTTGGTTGTATGTATTGGTTGAGAGATTCAAATTGAAGGAGATGGACGGGAGCTTGGTTTTACTTATGATTTAAGCACACACATCAGATTAGGAGCAAATGGGAATGATAATTTTGGCAGTCTTTTGTTACAGCCTGAAGTTCAACTTTGTCCTGTTTCGGTGTGTAGATACTACGGTGAGTGAGAGAATGTTGAACATTATTATTTATATGTGTATGTTTGATTGTAAAGTAGTGAACGATGAAGAGTTAATTTATCTCTCGGTGTCTGTACACACAAATCTTATAAAATAAGATGGATATTGTCATTTGAAAATGGTTCTATTGTTCTATTAATAAAGGGAATCAATACAGAGAGTTTGTAGCAGGGTTTTCTTCTCAACTTTAAGTCACCATATTAGAAATGAATTATGGCGGAATTTATCATTAACTCGGCTTTCATAGAAAAGAAATAACTGTCACAAACTCTTTACAATTTTTGATAAATTGGAAACCTCGTAGTCTTTGAAAAGAACAATACACTGCTGAACTAATGAAAGAACATGGAGAACTCAAACAAAACAATCAAGAACTCCAGGATTTATAGAGGTTCAGCTCTCATCTATTGCTGTTGATGACTTGATGATTAAGAATGCACTATGAAGAAGAAATAGAGCTTTTTGAATTTTATTCGTAATCTACCTCAAGTCCCCATTACAACCACAAGAATCCAATCTGTAGTTTTTGGAATTTTCAGCATGGAGAGAACAATATACAAAATTAAAGAAAGTGAAAAACAAAGAGATCTGACTTTATGCTCAGTGAGGATATAACTAACTCAACAATCGGGCTTATGTGGACAAACATCATCACCAGTTGCAACTTGAATTTAGCTAAGCTATGTTGAGACACATCACCACGATGTAGAACAGAAAGTGGTCGGTTGTCGTTTGAAACTGAATGACGTGAAATGGTTATAAGGGAATAAATTGACGTTGAAACCAGAAGAATTAAAAATTATATGTTTCTTTTCATTGTTTGGTCGGCAAGGAAATGGAAGAAAATTTGGTCAAATTTTCGTTTTCATTCAACGTTTGAAGTTTGATTAATATTAATAATGTATTGTGAAGTGCAGAAGCAAATCTTGTACATACATCAATTAAATAAACGCTTTGAATAATAGTTCCCGTGTTTGGAGGAGAACAAAAGAACATGGGCTGTAGCTATTACGACTCAGCAATCATATAAATATCAGTCCAACTCAATTCGAAGAAAGACACCTGCTCCTTCCAGACTCCATGATTGACGATGCAATGGGTCAACTTTTGAATACGTATATCTTAAAATTCTGCCCATGTTTTTTGATAATAATCAACATCTTGACTTTGACTTCCATTCCACAAACTATTACATGACTTGTCTGAGTTGTCTACGCCGTTGAAATTCACCATCGTCTTTAGTATAAATAGATTGAACCAAGAGATAAAACCAAATTTCAATCTAAAAAGCCGATACATCAAAGAAATTTTGAGAAAAAATGTACGTAACAAGACCTCTTTCCATGTACAAAAAGTTTCCTTCAGCTCTTTCATCGCCTCCCCCAGAAGGTCCAAATTCTGGTATTTTGGTGATCCAAGATGAAGAAGCGGAACCTACTTGTTGTTTTGGACTGTGCAAGAGCGATGAACTCAAGGAGCTGCCTTTCCCTCAAAACAAGAACCTCAAAACTCGCCATTCAACTTCCTCAGGTGCTGGACAGAACCGCAGCACACAAGTCTCTTACAACCGAGTTATCTTCATTCCTGTTCCTAATCTCCCGCTATCTTCCAATAGCTACTATGCTATTCAACCACGAGGGAGCCATAAAGGGTAAGTATAATATTATGAACTAAACTTGGTTTTACTAGATATGCTCACACTAATAAACTAATTAATGGATGGATATTCAAATTGGGTTTCAGGGAAGCATTCACAAACTCAAATGAGGAGGACTTGACAACCTGCTGTTTCTGCAACTTTGTTTCAGACAGAAAACCTCAGCCTTTCCATCTCGATAACATTTATCAGCAATTTGAGATTTGTTACCGCGACCGGGGAGGCTTTTACGCCAAATCAGTGGCACCGGATGGTTATCCACCAGAATTCTTGAGAAGAAAGGGATGGACAGTGGTGACAGAAACTCCCTCTAATTTTGACCTAAATGAAGCACCAGGCCTTGATAATAACCTCCGTGCCCGCCTTCCAGATTTCAATTTCCCATTATCACACAGGAGTTCTAAACCCGTGGTGGTGGGAAAATGGTATTGTCCTTTCATGTTTATCAAAGAAGGAACACCGAAACAGCAGATAAACAGTTCAATGTATTATGAGATGACACTTGAGCAAAGATGGGAACAAGTGTTTGCTTGTGAAAATAATCATAACGAGGACAATGTTGCGGTTGTAGATGCTGAAGTTCAAACAGTAGTGGTGTCATATGGTGGGGTTGAGGTTATGCCTGATGAGAATAATGTGGTAGATGGGGTGATGCGGTTCAGGAGTTCCAGCAATGAGGGAGGAGAAATAAGTGTGGGGTTGAGTACTCTAATCACTGAGAGACTGAAGTGGGAGCAAGAAAGATTTGGGTGGGTTGGAGGGAACAGGAGGCAAATTAGAGTGAATAGAGTAGAGCAGTTTGACGGAGTTGGTGACTGGAGGAAATTTGGTAGCTATGTGTTGGTTGAGAGGTATGCATTGAAAAGAATGGATGGTACCTTGGTGTTAACTTATGATTTCAAGCACATTCATCAGATTAGGAGCAAATGGGAATGAGATTTTGAGCCTTTTGTTATACATAAGTTATACTTTGTCCATTTTTAATGTGTATAAAATATGTTCTATATGGGTGTCTAAGACTTCATTGTTTTATTCAATTCATAGCTTTGATTGTAATAAGAGTTCAGTTCAATGAATGAAAAGTTTATTTACTTCTTTGTTTCCTTGGACAAACAATGATAGCATTTTGTAAAATTCTGAAGATATTGTCCTCTGAAGACTGCTCCATACTTCTGTAGTCTTTCTGAAATATCAATCTCTTTATTTTGAAAAAGAAAAGGAAAGAGGTAGAGAAGTAATCCTGTAATCTCTATCAATAACGAGCTCGACAGGAATGTTCTCAAAGCATTTCGGTGTATGAAATCTGACCCCTTAATTAAGAACTGAAAAATCACAGGTAATGATTCCGTCAATATATTTATGCAACACGCATGTCAAAGCCATATTAAGCTTAACTGCTGAATATTAATATAAATTTCTAGTGATTTGCAGATCTAAACATTAAAACCAGGTCTAGGAAGGTTAGTAATAACAGCAAATAAAATTGGATTTACGCAATGACAGCCAACAAATAAGTGAAGCTGACTCCAACAAATGTTCTGAGATAAGCCTGGGAATATAAGAAACGCGTGATCTCGCTTGAAAATGATGCTTAACGTAATTTACATTGTAGCTGGTCAACTTTGGATAATTATCAAATTATTCATGTTAAATGTTTGTACCCTGTAGTGTAATGTACTGGTGCAGTATCCTCCTTCCTTGCAACCCCTAAATTATTATGTTGAATTTGGTAACACAGCAAAATTAAATATGACTTCAGGTCCTTAACATTTGCCTTCTCATATGTTATCCTTTGTCCAAGTTTAATAGTTTTATCTTTTCTAATCGTCATGCAATTCAACTATGAAAGAAAATAAGAAAAAATTGGAAAATAAACGATAATAAACAATTTGTCTAGATTCAATAAAAAATAGCATGACTTGTCCAAGTTGTTGAGGTCATAATTCAAGGTAATGTTTCATATAAATAGATTAAAGATAGAGATGATTAATACCCATATAGCAAACTGAGGATCAAGAAAAAGAAAAAAATTATGTGACAAGGCCTCTTTCCATGTACATAAGGTCTCCAATGCTCCATCATCTCTTTCGTTGCCTCCACCAGAGGGTCCAAATTCTGGTATTTTGGTGATCCAAGATGAAGAAGCTGAGCCTACTTGTTGTTTCGGACTGTGCAAGAGTTATCACCTTCGGGAACTGTCTTTCTCTCAAAACGAGAGACTAACTGTGTCGTTTTATGACAACTACAATCGCGTTTTTCTTATTCCTGTTCTTAATCAGCTATTATCTTCCAATCAGTACTATGCAATACAACCTCGTGGGATGCATAAAGGGCATGCCTCAATTTTAAGCTCAAATTCTCCTATTAAGTAATGCTTTTGACATAGTTCAAACCAACTTGGCCCTGTCTTTGATGCACAAGAGAAATCTAATTGAAATTACTGCAAGATGGATGCTCCCGTACTCCCAATCCAGTTTATAGAATAGATGTTACTTAGCCAAATTTCCCGGGAATAACTTATGCTGAGTAATTTTAATCACATTTAGTTTGGATTTATTTCAGGAAAGCGATCACAAGCTCAAAGGAGGAAGATAAGACCACCTGCTGTTTATGCAACTGTATTTCCGACAGAAATCCGCAGCCTTGTGACCCCAATAACATTTTTTCAGCAATTTGAGATCTGTCGCCGAGATATCAGTGGCTTTTTCTCCAAATCAGTAGCTCCAGATGTTTATCCACCAATATTCTTGAGAAGAAAAGGATGGACGATGATAGCAAGAACTAACCACAATTTTGAATTAGGTGAAGCAGCAGGTCTTGATGCTAACCTCCGTTTCCGCCTTCCAGATTTCAACTTCCCATTGTCAAACAAGACTTCTAAACCAGTTGTTGTGGGTAAATGGTATTGTCCTTTCATGTTTGTTAAAGAAGCTACACCGAAACAGCAAATGAGTAGGTCAATGTATTCTCAGAACAAAGATGGGAACAAATATTTGCATGTGAAACTAGTCATAACAGGGAGAATGTCGTGGTTGTGGATGTTGTTGTTCAAACAGAAGTGGTGTCATTTGCGAGGACTGAAACTGTGCCTGAAAAGAAGAATGTGGTTTAGAAGTTGTAGCAAAGAAAGAGAAGAAAAAAATGTGGGATTAAGTGTACTAATCATGAGAGAAGAAGAAAATGTGGTTTACTGCAGATCTTATATTATATAGTGTGTTAAGGCTACATTGTTTTTGCATAGATTTCACTGTAGTAGTTCAATGAATGAAAAGTTAAATATGTTTCTCTATAGGAATTATGATGCAAGTGTCATTTCAAGATTGTTCTGTGAATTAGTCCTGTTATTAATAGCAATATTAAAAGAGCATGACATGAATGTTCTCAAAGATTTCGAATGTAACAGTTAATTGGGTGTTGACAACTTGAAAAATCAGACACTATTTTAAAGACTTTGATTTCTGACTATATATTCGGTACACAACACTGTGTCAAAGCCAAATTAAGAATTGCTAAATATGAAGTAAATCTCTAGTGACTTGCACAGCTAAATGATATGAGAAGGCTCAAGCTATTACAGTGAGAACTGGTTAAATTTGACCCCATTTAATGTTTTATTGAGATAGAGAAAACACGTAATCTTGAAGACCCTTATCACAAATTCAAGTATGTGTTGATTTTTGTATGGTGATACAGATAAGTTAAATTTTATAATAGAAATTTAGGATAAACTGTTTTCAAAGGTTTTAGGGCAACACAAACACAAGAAAAATTATAGAACCAGAGTAAAATACATCTGAACCGACAGGATGTCACAAATTCTCCATATAACCTGTCCAAAATGAAGAAATCTCACATTTGGCTGCTATTGGATAGGTCAACGTTATCTTCATTCAAGTTAATGAAAGCAAGCAGAAAGTGGTAATATTAATCAAAACCGTAAAGATCAAATGTATGTGACAACTGCCAAGGCCTCTTTCTACGTAGAAAAAGTTTCCCTCAGCTCTCTCATTGCCTCCCCTAGAAAGCCCAAATTCTGATATTCTGGTGATCCTAGATGAAGAAGCTGAGCCTACTTTGTTTTGGACAGTGCAAGGATGATGAACTTGAAAAGCTGCCTTTCCCTCAAAACAAGAAGCTAACACTGTCCTCATTGTGTTGCTCTTATTCCTGTTCTTAATCACCCTCTATCTTCCAATCGTTACTATGCAGTTCAGCCGAGTGGAAAGCATAAAGGGTATGTACAAAATCACAAAATAAACCACATCTTAGTTCGTATCTATATTGTATCATGCAAAAATTGGTTATGTTTGTATATATTGTAAATCATTTTTGTCTTAATCTGAACAGATGACGGGTTAGAATCCTTGAATTGAATAAAAAGAAACCTGTAATTGCTTCTTGTTGAGTGATTAAAAATTGAATATTGGAATCCTATTATCTTAAAGTACTGCTGTATTGCATAAAAAAACCACGTCAAATCTACCTGATTTCCGGGCATTCAGACACGAGACAATATCTACATTTGCATCTTTAAATTGGGTTATCGAAGGAGGAGGGAGGACATAACGACCTGCTGTTGCTGCAAGTCTTTTTCTGATAGAAAACCAGAACCTTTTGATCCCAACAACATTTACCATCAAATTGAGATTTGTTGCAGAAATTCGGGTGGCTTTTTCGCTAAATCAGTGGTTGAAGATGGTTATCCACCTGATTTTCTGAGAAGAAACGGATGGCAACTCTTGATAGAAACTCCTCGTAATTTCAAGTTAGGTGAAGCACCAGACCTTGACACTACACTTCGTGCCCACCTTCCTGATTTCAGTTTTCCATTGTTATCCAAGACTTCTAGACCTGTGGTGTGGGAAAATGGTTTCGTCCTTTAATATATTTTTTTAAAAGAAAGGTACACTAAAACAACAACTAAATAAGACAATGTACTATGAGATGACACTTAAGCAAAGATGGGAACAAATATTTGCAAGTGAAAATAGTCATAACAGGGAGAATGATGTGGTTGTTCAAACAGAGGTGGTGTCATTTGGTGGGGTTGAGGGTGTGCAGTCACTGTGCCTGATGAGAAGTATGCGGTTGATGGTATGATGTGGTTTAGAAGTTCTAGCAACGAGGGAGGAGAACCAAGTGCGGGGCTGAGTACACTTATCATCATCCAGAGAATGAAGTGGGAAGGAGGATTTCATTTGTATCAAACTGAAACGCCCATCTTTGATGAGATCGTATTTAATAGACATAGTTCAAACCAACTTGGCCCTGTCTTTGATGCTCAAGAGAAATCTAATTGTAATTACTACAAGATGGATGCTCCCATACTCCCAATCCAGTTTATAGAATAGATGTTACTTAGCCAAATTTCCCGGGAATAACTTATGCTGAGTAATTTTAATCACATTTAGTTTGGATTTATTTCAGGAAAGCGATCACAAGCTCAAAGGAGGAAGATAAGACCACCTGCTGTTTATGCAACTGTATTTCCGACAGAAATCCGCAGCCTTGTGACCCCAATAACATTTTTTCAGCAATTTGAGATCTGTCGCCGAGATATCAGTGGCTTTTTCTCCAAATCAGTAGCTCCAGATGTTTATCCACCAATATTCTTGAGAAGAAAAGGATGGACGATGATAGCAAGAACTAACCACAATTTTGAATTAGGTGAAGCAGCAGGTCTTGATGCTAACCTCCGTTTCCGCCTTCCAGATTTCAACTTCCCATTGTCAAACAAGACTTCTAAACCAGTTGTTGTGGGTAAATGGTATTGTTCTTTCATGTTTGTTAAAGAAGCTACACCGAAACAGCAAATGAGTAGGTCAATGTAGTCTGAGAACAAAGATGGGAACAAATATTTGCATGTGAAACTAGTCATAACAGGGAGAATGTCGTGGTTGTGGATGTTGTTGTTCAAACAGAAGTGGTGTCATTTGCGAGGACTGAAACTGTGCCTGAAAAGAAGAATGTGGTTTAGAAGTTGTAGCAAAGAAAGAGAAGAAGAAAATGTGGGATTAAGTGTACTAATCATGAGAGAAGAAGAAAATGTGGTTTACTGCAGATCTTATATTATATAGTGTGTTAAGGCTACATTGTTTTTGCATAGATTTCACTGTAGTAGTTCAATGAATGAAAAGTTAAATATGTTTCTCTATAGGAATTATGATGCAAGTGTCATTTCAAGATTGTTCTGTGAATTAGTCCTGTTATTAATAGCAATATTAAAAGAGCATGACATGAATGTTCTCAAAGATTTCGAATGTAACAGTTAATTGGGTGTTGACAAATTGAAAAAGCAGAAACTATTTTAAAGACTTTGATCTCTGGCTATATATTCGGTACACCAAACTGTGTCAAAGCCAAATTAAGAATTGCTAAATATGAAGTAAATCTCTAGTGACTTGCACAGCTAAATGATATGAGAAGGCTTAAGCTATTACAGTGAGAACTGGTTAAATTTGACCCCATTTAATGTTTTATTGAGATAGAGAAAACACGTAATCTTGAAGACCCTTATCACAAATTCAAGTATGTGTTGATTTTTGTATGGTGATACAGATAAGTTAAATTTTATAATAGAAATTTAGGATAAACTGTTTTCGAAGGTTTTAGGGCAACACAAACACAAGAAAAATTATAGAACCAGAGTAAAATACACCTGGGCCGACAGGATGTCACAAATTCTCCATATAACCTGTCCAAAATGAAGAAATCTCACATTTGGCTGCTATTGGATAGGTCAACGTTATCTTCATTCAAGTTAATGAAAGCAAGCAGAAAGTGATAATATTAATCAAAAGCGTAAAGATCAAATGTATGTGACAACTGACAAGGCCTCTTTCCACGTAGAAAAAGTTTCCTTCAGCTCTCTCATTGCCTCCCCTAGAAAGCCCAAATTCTGATATTCTGGTGATCCCAGATGAAGAAGCTGAGCCTACTTTGTTTTGGACAGTGCAAGGATGATGAACTTGAAAAGCTGCCTTTCCCTCAAAACAAGAAGCTAACACTGTCCTCATTGTGTTGCTCTGATTCCTGTTCTTAATCACCCTCTATCTTCCAATCGTTACTATGCAGTTCAGCCGAGTGGAAAGCATAAAGGGTATGTACAAAATCACAAAATAAACCACATCTTAGTTCGTATCTATATTGTATCATGCAAAAATTGGTTATGTTTGTATATATTGTAAATCATTTTTGTCTTAATCTGAACAGATGACGGGTTAGAATCCTTGAATTGAATAAAAAGAAACCTGTAATTGCTTCTTGTTGAGTGATTAAAAATTGAATATTGGAATCCTATTATCTTAAAGTACTGCTGTATTGCATAAAAAAACCACGTCAAATCTACCTGATTTCCGGGCATTCAGACACGAGACAATATCTACATTTGCATCTTTAAATTTGGTTATCGAAGGAGGAGGGAGGACATGACGACCTGCTGTTGCTGCAAGTCTTTTTCTGATAGAAAACCAGAAGCTTTTGATCCCAACAACATTTACCATCAAATTGAGATTTGTTGCAGAAATTCGGGTGGCTTTTTCGCTAAATCAGTGGTTGAAGATGGTTATCCACCTGAATTTCTGAGAAGAAACGGATGGCAACTCTTTATAGAAACTCCCCGTAATTTCAAGTAAGGTGAAGCACCAGACCTTGACACTACACTTCGTGCCCACCTTCTTGATTTCAGTTTTCCATTGTTATCCAAGACTTCTAGACCTGTGGTGTGGGAAAATGATATCGTCCTTTAATATATATATATTTTTTTATAGAAGGTACACTAAAACAACTAAATAAGACAATGTACTATGAGATGACACTTAAGCAAAGATGGGAAGAAATATTTGCAAGTGAAAATGGTCATAACAGGGAGAATGATGTGGTTGTTCAAACAGAGGTGGTGTCATTTGGTGGGGTTGATGGTATGATGTGGTTCAGAAGTTCTAGCAACGATGGGGTGAGTAAACTTATCATCATCTAGAGAATGAAGTGGGAAGAAGGATTTCATTTGTATCAAACTGAAACGCCCATCTTTGCGCAAGACTTGTCAATGATAATTCCATGCCAAGCCGTTAATGTAAAAAGTTTAATGAATAAAATTTATTTGTCTTTGCCCTTCATTTAACAAACAATAATAGCATTTTATAAGAATTATGAAAATTGTCTTATTCCAAGATTGTTCGGTTAATTTGTTCTCTGTATAATTTCTATCCTATTACAAATATATGAAGAAATAGAAAAAGTTCAGCGGTTATTTGTATCGTTATTATACAAATATATCGTTTTGAAATGAAACCCGTCATTTTTAAGTACACATTCACGAGTCGCGACCTAGCGCTAGCGATTCTTAATTCAAGACCGCCAACCAAATTTCTGCAATTCTTCAGAGGTAATCAAGTTTCAACCATTCCAAAGGCATTCATTGAAGTTACCAGATATCGTCTCACCCATGTGAATGGCTTCAACAGATAATACAAGGCCTCACCTAGAATCATCCACCTAAAACCACTGTTTTAAAACCCGGACCGGACCGGACTGACTGAGAGCTAGTCTCGACTCTGGTCTAGGTTAATATAAAACCCGGTTATAGCTTAAAACCTCCTTTGGACCAAAAACAGACTGACAAAATAGTACCAAACCATCAGTCTAACCAGCCCAGGGCTTAAGCCGGGTCACCAAAATCTTTCGTGGTCAAGCCGACCCTTCGCCATCCTCTGAGCTGCTTCCCCTTCAAGCTACACAACAACAAACCCTTCTAAATAACTCACAAACTATTCAATCTAACCAGATAACATCCTAAAACTAGATTGTTAGTAACATTCAAAACATCCTAAAACTAGATCGTCAGTAACATTCAAAACATCTAAAGACCAAAATCAAACATGCTTTTTCTAACAAGCCAAGTTCCAAATCCCACAACACATGTTCTCCGATCTCGTGTTTCTCTCCTGGGGACTCCTGGTTGCTTAACCATGAACCCATGAGCAGTGGAGATCTATCTCATCAAAGCCAATGATAACTTCTTCAACAAAGGATTGGGTAGGACTAACCTGCCTCTCTCTCTCTCTCGTAAAAATATAGACAATTTAACGTTTTCAAGGCCTGGACCCACATCAAGAATTACTTCAAGATAACTATTAATCCAATCGTTTCCAACCATTAAAAGAAAGTTGAGAACTTGATAGACTCTTCTTAAAGAAGGAAGAAGAAGAGAGAATGGCATTAATTGTTTGTTATACGATAAGGACAGAGTGCCGTGAATTCAAAGGAAGAGACAAACAGAGGGAGAGAAATTAGGGATTTTGGTGTTTTAAGAACTGTAAAACACTGTAAATCTGTCAACTTGTTATAACTGTTCACTCTCTAAACTCTGCACAAAGATGTGCTGATGTGGCCAGTCCGACCGACTGGACCGGATAACTTGGGAATTTTAAAACATTGCCTAAAAAAATAAAATTAAAGTCCCGAAACTCATCCAGACACTCTCAAATTCATACCAACAAAACTCGTATCAATAATAAAATTTTACTACCACAAGTAAAATGTATAGTTTACACACCTTTAATTACCTAATTCCATTTCTGAACCTTAATATATAATCTAGAACAGTGTGTATGAACCCAGCACACTGGGTCCAAAAATCTATAATAAAATAGTAAATCAAAAATGATATCCCAGATTCTGGTTGTGTTGCATTGCTCTTAACTTGCCGGCTCAACATGATGGAAATAGCACAATAAATCTGCCCTAATCAAAAAACTCCGCTTAGCAGAAAATTTCAAATACATATTGGTAACAGATAGAACTCTAAACTTGAGCGTAAAAGTAACAGCAATATGAAAAAACATAGGTCACAAACAAGGGAAGAGCATACCCAAACCTAAGCATAAAGAAACTTTCAAGCTTCTTTCCTGGTTATCCTGTCATGTAACAAGGAAAAAACTTTTCAAATGACAGTCCAATTCCAAGGCAAGGAAACAATCTTCTAATCTAGACCTTAACAATGCTTAATACTGCAGCATTATAAAGTTATCAAGATATTGAACAATGAACAAATACAATGATTTCCTGGGCTCCAAAAATTTAATCAATATAAATTCCAATAACTAGATCAACAATATATGGTTACTATAAATTACTTACCTGAAGCAATATATTCCCAAAGCTGCCGTAATTTCATGAATAACAGATGTGGCAAAGTGGAGATAGAGGGCCACTAGGTTTAGCAAAAGAGAATCGTCAGGCACAAAGCACAAAATATAAAAGCTATGTCACATTAAAAGTACTTTCTCTCTGATCATGAACAAGAAATACACTTTATGTGAAACTAAAAAGAAAAATCATAGAATTTATAAAAAAGTTTAATCATAATTTTATGCACATAAAGGAACAATGATTGTCTATAATATTCATATTTAATTACTTCTCCAGAAAGAAAATTTAATGAGATTACTAGGTCAACTGACCAGGCTGATACAAAACAGAGTTTCTGGAAGATGCTGTATGAAATGCAGATTCACAGGATATTCTCAACATGCATATTGCTTAATAATTCAATAATACTATTTACCTGTAAATACACAGTACCCAAGCAGAACCCAGCATTCATCAACTAATGGAACTCTGCAACAATGAACAAAAGGTGTCCATAAATGAAAAAGAGCCAACAGTCCAGACTAAGTACTGACAAAAATGGCCGCTGAATACACTAAGTAAACCAAACTTCAACACACCCATCATTTAGTCTGGCAGTAAGTGCATTTGCAATGGCAAAGGGAAGATACAATAGTGACTGCACAAGTAACACATAAAACTTAGAAACCCCAATTTTGATATGAGAATTAATCCAAAAAACATGCAGGGCATGTAATGTTATCAAAATTCAAACACTTCAAAGAGGAACAGGAAGGTAGAAAAAAATTGTTTTCCATCTATCTCTGAAACGTAAATAATCTGTAGTCCAGCCAGTAAACAATGAGTAACAACAAAAAAGGGAAAACTATAAATCAATTGTGCAAGAAAGTGAAAAGAAAAAATAAATTTCCAATAATTCTAAAAAGCAAAGCGCTGGTCTCATAAATCAAGTGAATGCTACATACCATGCACATGTTAGTTTTCAGTCCCTTGGGTTCATCACACAAATGAGCCAGAATCATCCTTCCCTATCAACATAAGTTTTTAATCAGCAACAATCGAACAACGAATTCAATCATATACTGAAAAGGAAATTTCAACAAAAGAAAAAGGAATATATATATACACACACACACACACACACAAAATATTTTCTTACTTGAATAAATTTATGAAAAGCAAATTTTTGAGTAAATGTGTTAAATAAACCTTAAGCAAAACCTTCTTTTAATTTTTTTTTTATTTTCGACTTCCAAAGATTATAATATAAATTTTCATAACTTTGATCAGACCTAACATAAGCTAAAGTCAACCAAAACTTAAATCAAGTCAACATTACGTTGACTTTTAATATGAATTAACAAAAAAAAAAGGTGAAATTTTCTTGGTATAAACATAGATAGTAACTCAAATTTCTTTAATAATTTTGAGCAGCTAAACGGTGACGTTTGATATGTAAGAAAGTGGTAGGTGAAGGGTAAAGAATAACGTCCTTTAAAATATAGTTAAGATTTTAATTTGGGAAAGCAAGAACATTCTTAGAGACGAAACACAAAATAAACTCACAAAATCCATGTCTTTTTCCCTCAAATTAGAATAAAAAACATCCAAAAAATAAGCATGATTCAACTCTAAAATAAATTAAATTGAAATGAGCAATATACATACCAAAACTAATAAAACAGAGAACGGAGTTAATTGTGGTACCTTGAGTAGTGAAAGGTTCAACAATTTTAGTCTTCAAAAGTTTTAAGAGCGAATAGCATGAGAAAGAGAATGAGAGAATAAGAGAGTAAAGAATTTTAGAAATAAAATCATAAAAAGCAAGCCGAGCCGTAGAAAAAAAGAGTGGAGAGAGTTTTAAACTTTTATTATGATGTGGACTTAGAATATATATATTAATAGCAAGTTTTTTATGGGCTTGGATATATGTAAAATAGTTCTCATTTTCAAAAAATTTGAGAGTAGGCCTAGGCATATATATTAGTAGCAATTTTTTGTGGGCCTATATATTAGTATTTTTTTTTTTTAATCCCCAGCGCGCGCGCGCACACACACAGAGAGACACACACACAAGTCCCATCATATATTCCTAGTGATGCACAAACTCCAAGTCAGGGCACCATGACTCATACCACAGAACATACCCACCAATCGAGACATCATTAGTTCGGAAATGACAGATACTAGAAGGCCTATAGCAGCAACAACACACAATGAGCACATTATTTGTTTCTTCCATTAATGGCAACAGGCAAACGATAATTTGTTTCAAATGTAACTTGACTTGCAATAATGAATATATACAAACATTCAAAGAAGTTAAGAGAGTCTATGATGCAGCAACATAATGTTATATCTTACCACAAGGAACCCAAACGCAAGTCCAGTTCCCAGTACAACTAAATGTGGATAGTTCCTCATTTATCAGAAGGAGACAATAATCCCTGCATAAGAACGTATCCTGTATAAAGAAGCAAATATCCAGAACTAGTGTTCAACATGAGAAACAGTGGGCAAAAGCTGAGGTATACCATAAGCACTCCTCCGATAAGTACAACAAGGGTAGCTGTCAAGAACAAACAACAACACCTAATAAGCATATTGGAATTACGAATCAAGTACCAAACTTAAGAATTACCTTGCCAAAGCCAGTAACATGCTTCCTTTTCGTGCATGAACGACATTGTAGACATTCGACACACTGCAAAGAAAGATAGAATACATAAGGGAGATCAAGAAGATATTCAGCAAAACGGCTGAAACCGAGGCCAAATACATTTGAAGCCCAAATAAACTATACAGACATGGACAGAAGACCATAACAAAAAAGAAATCAGGATGCAAAAACACCAATAAAAAGTCTAGATGCCTATTCCAATATTGTGGGTTCACAAACTCCAATACCCTGTTTGGAAGCTGCACTGAGAATAAACTTGTAATAAAATGAATAAGCAACAAATGACTCTACAAAAAAATCAATCTACAAGTGAGTAAGCAAGAATATAGGACATCATAGAGTACATGTACATGGACCAAAGCCAGGTTCAAATTTCAACCTTTAGGATAAAAAAACCACTTACTTGGAGTAAAGCGTAGGAATAACAGCAAAGGCTATCATCATATATAACACTGCTTTGTAAGTTGTGATCCCTGAAGTTAAAAAAAGGGGAAATAAGTATGTAACCAAAAAATATTATAAGCACAAAACAGAACAAGTTAGTGTGCAAATCCAAAAAAGATGGAAAAGAGAAAACAATGGTAATATCAAGAGGTATTATATTGCATATGCTAAGAAAAAACTGAATGAATCACTAACCAATTATCATCATGTTTCCTGAGATAATTATTACAATAGCTACCACAATATGCATCATAGCATGTCAATCCAACATTTTGAAGGTTATTTTTTTTCCAGCAAACAAATTATACTTCCTTTTCAAGGTAACAAACATATCACGCAACAGAAAACACGTAATAGTATGCAAACACAACTGAGTTGGCAAGGGCAGTCAGGAGCAAAAAAAATCAAGAATATATCATATTATCATAAGTAGCTGATGATGTGTAGAAAAGTTTTAAAATCCAGAATGCATTGGGGCAGCATGTGCCACCAAGCCAACCACTCTACATGAAACATATTGTATCCTACATGAATAAAGAAATGTTTAAATATGAAGGGCCAATATAGTCTCTGGAAAAGCCCTCTCAAAAGATGTTTCTTAGGCCAACGTTCTAAAATAATAACACATATAAAAACATACAGACAACACGTTCCGTCATACAGTAACCAATATGAAAATTATTCGTATAAAAGTCTAAAGACAGTTTCACAACTAACATCATCACATAATATTCAAAATGGAGCATCAAATGTCCCATATGAAGGTTTTGAGCAAATAATCTTATTCATAAATGAGAACCAATACTCTGTCATAACTATATCCAGTATAATTAAATTTATGTGTTCAAGTGTCAAATGTTCTGAGCTATAGTGAAGCACATGTCAAATATAGTAATCACCGTTCCTAATTATGTAGCCTTACCATTAATCAGTGGCACCCAATTCAAGAAGGGGATAGAATTCCCAAAATGCTGAGCCCACCATTCAGCACCTATGAAAAAGAACTCAAGTAACTATCAAAGGGAAAACAGAGAAAATAAAAATTAAAAATACATAAATATATACTTTTACGTGCAAGAAGGAAAAATTATTGTAAGAGCATACCGACTAAGGCTGTAAAAAAGTGGGCTACATAGATAAGCATAAGACCCTCTGTAGGTCCATTGACCACCGGAAGAATAAGGGTATTGGTAAAATAGCTGAAACAACACAAAACATCAATATTGATGATTTAGTTAACAAAAACTAGGGCAAATAGAACTTATATAGAGAAAACACTACTGGAAACAGAAACCCATCTTTAAGTCATAATTAGAAGGCTGCAGACACAAAGAAAGGCCTTAAATATTATAAATAATATCCATCATACAGGGTTAAAGAGCAGTCATCTTTTGATGTATAAATTCAATAACTTTATAGTTTGCTTAGTGCTGACTCTATTCAATTTATGCAAAAGAAAGAACCAGTATGGCTTGGATACTTACTGTTCCCATGTTGCTCCATAAAATGGAACAGCTGAAATTACCCAGAACCAGAAAGTATCTCTTCCACACATGGCAGTGCTTCCGAAAGCCATGGCCTCAAGCTGAAAGCAGCGACAAACATATCAAAAGGAATTGCAGTGACCACAGTTACCAAAATAACAACAAAAGGTGGTATATTCATACCGCACATGCAAGTGCATCACAGCCTGCAATAGATTGGAAACACCAAGAAATATATTTCATCAACATTGCACATTAATGTCAAACAGTAAATACTGGGCAAAATACATAATAAAGGGAAATCACCATGGTCAAAAAGCTCGCCCAATGGACTAGATGAATTTGTCCGTCGAGCTTGCTTCCCATCGACAGCATCAAAAGTCTAGCACGTAGCTGGTATCAGAAAATCACGCCAAAAAGAATAATATTTGCACTAATGCATGCACAGAAAATAACCCATACATAACTTGGGCAGTAGAACAAATACATAACTTGGGCAGTAGAACAAACCTGATACAAAAATAGAAGTAAGCCATGTGCAAAATGAACCCATCTTGGTGGAGGTGAATCCAAACGAGGTGAATATATCTGAAACACAAATTAATATCAAAAGCTTAATAAAAGGAAAATTGTTTAAAATACGAAGCACATCTTCGTGAAAAAGGCCTTCACAATATCAAATAATCTTACAAAGTTTGCACCTACAATCTTCTCATTGTTCACCCACACATATTACAACTTTGTGAATGCAAGCTATACCCAGTTCCCATTGGTGTGAACCCTTCAGTACTTAAAATTTATCGTGCATCAGTTGCAATATTAAATTTTCACTTCATTACATTATCAAGGGGAAAACCTAACATATGTAAAATTATAAAACAAGGAAGCAAAGAAATTGCTACTTACATATCCAAGCAGTGCAGACATGAGTAAGAACATGAACCCAGTAAGTGTAATCTAAGAAAACAACATAACCAATGAGCAAAAAGACAAGAAATCAAGAATCTTCCCGACAAACACTTCAAAATACAAACTAAAGTGTGATTAAGAAATATCTTACCATGTTTGGTCTGAAGAAAATCCCGAAACAAACACAGAAACAAAACACACAAAAAAAAGGTGTAAAAAAACATATGTAACGGAACAAAATAAAATAAAACAAAAGGAAGAGAATAATTAAAGAAAGAAAAAAGAAACATACGGCATCCATAGAGGGAAGATTTTGACGAAACGACCCCAAAAAGGTTGTAATACATATTTGGCAAGATAAGAATGGTCAACCCCACTGTATTTGTATCTGTGCAACGCTGCTACTCCATGTGCTCCTATATATCCCATTTTTTATTTTTCTTGTATTTTTTTTGGGCAAGTGTCAAGTCTCTTCACTGATTCTGGGCAGATAAAATCCAATGAGGAAATTAGGCAATTGTAATTAAGTAAACAATGAAGAAGAATCGATATACAGTATGTTTACGCAGTATTTATAGATTGGATCTGAAATGAGGGAGATGTATGAAGAAAATAAAAGGAGAAAGGGATTATTTAAAAGACAAAAAGAAGAAAAAAAGTGAAGATACCTTGAAGAAAGGAGAGATCGAAAGAGACGGAGAATTGGGAACGAAAAGGAAAGTGTGTGAAACGCAAGCGTTTTATGTCCCTCCCGCCCTATAGTATAGCGGAGGAGTGAGAGTGAAAGTGAAGCCTATTCTTGAGGAATGGAGATGAAAATGGTGTCACTGCAGTGGAGTTTGGAGTTACTAAAAAACGACGTCGGATTTAATTAATAAACCATGGTTTAACTATTTCATTGACTTTTGACTTTCACAATTGAAGAATCAAACACGCGTGAAAGGTGGAACGTATTCCTTGTTCCCAGATATAAAGTATATAAAGCAAAAAGCCTCGATCTTTTTCATCGACTATTTAATTTAATAAAATGAGCTTCATTTAATTAATGTAAAAAGATTCTATTTTATCAAGTGTAAAGCACATCCATTCCTTGGTTTAACTTGTATTACTTAGTCCTTAATAGACAAGAATATCATCACAATATAAAACCATTATTCGTCAGGAATAATGGTCCACATTCTACGTTGATTCTGGTTTTTGGTTTTCTTCTACAATTAACTTAGGATTTAATATTATTAATTAATGGTCCCTCGTGACTACTTCAGTGCTAAGACATTGACCATTGGTTTTTAATCCCTAAATTTTGGACTTTGGACCTTCACCAAATCTTTCAAGTCTCAATTCACACACGTGTTCAATTCTTTTAGTAAAAATAAAATTCACAGATATATTTTGGTGCAAAGTGAGGGTCAGATTACAAACATGGTCAATAATAATTGAAGGAGTATTTTAACATTTGTAGAATCAGTGATCCAGTTAAGCAAGCACAGACATCAATGTGCACTGTTCCTCATGAGATATTGGGGTTGAGCTTGGATTTCATTATTCATTTATCTCCATAAACAACTCACTCCTGCCGCACGGTCACTAATAAAATATCAAAATCAAGTAAACAAATTAATAATATGATTTTGATGCAATTATTTTTCGAAATAAATGGTTTCAGTAAATGAAGACATCCTCGAAACTAGTTAGCTAGACTTCCATTACGCCAACGTAAGGCTTCACTGATGACCCCATAAATAAGTTCCCACCATGCTCTTCAACTTCACTAACAGAGTCAAGTGCTGCTCCATCATTTCCATGCAATACTTTTACAATCTTCCCCTCCCAATCTATCTTAACTCCTACAGGATCATTATCATACCGACCCCTCACAGTTTTAGAATCCAACTCCGTATCTTTACTTCTCCGAATTTTTCCTCTTGCACTGTTCAGAGCTACCCAGAATTCTCCTTCATTGTTCGTTCTAATGTTATCAGGAAACCTTGGAAGCCGCACAAAAACTTGTGGACTGTAAATTGTTGAATCTTGAAGCCAGAATCTTAAGACTTGAAACTTAGTTGATTCAGCAACTAAAAGAAATGAATTGTCCTTGCTTAGAGCCACCCCATTTGGAAATGCTAAGCCTTTAAACATCACTGTTACTTCCTTGCTATGTGGATCGTATTTCAATAGCCTCCCAGTTCTATCACCTCCGATCACTGCCAATATATATTCTCTGCAACATTCAACAATTGCTTGTTATTTAAATCAGAAATAGCAAAAAAAGAAAAAGAAAAAAAGGGTACCTTCTTTGGTAGATGATGCTACTGTCTGTAAAATAAACTAGTCCAGTTTTGGAATCAATGTCCAAGGCATTTGTGAAGCGGAAAGGGACGCCTTCGGCCGAAGCAACGAGTTGCTGGGCCTGACCACCGTTAGGTCCGACAACCATTAGCCCAAAATAGGCATCTGCAATGAAGAGATCACAACTTTCGGGGTTGAATTTAAGGCCCAATGGTCTCCCACAAGTGGGTTCGTCCGAGGTGTTGGTTGACCCATCACATACCTCTCGTTGCCTATTCAAAAATATACATTCAATTGTCAGTAAAAATCCAAAGAATAATAAATTGCAAAATAGTATGGTAATCCGTTTGTTTTGGTATTTTGGATGGTATTTTTGAAAAAGTAAGAGTTGGGTGGGAATAATGAGGTAAAATTTAAAAATTAATAAAAACACCCTCTAAGTTTGTTAATTTACTAAACACTCTTATAATAAAAATATTAAAAATTACAAAAACACCCCACCCACCCATTAAATACTGGTAGTTGGCCACCATCATCGGAGGGTGGTTGGAGTCACCGTATCGGTGCAGGATTAGCTGGATCTGGCCGGTTGTGCGCCGAGATGGCCTTTTCCAGCCAGATCGGCCGTGGATTTAGCCGAAAAAGGCCAGATCTACGGTCAGATCTGGTCATGTTTGATCATCAACGATGGCTAAAGATCTAGTCTTTTCTGATCAGATCTATTGGAAAATGATAAATCAACGCACTACCCTCCAGATCTAACCATTATACTAGATTCCGGCCACCTTTTGGCGGTGATGGTCAGAATCTGGAAAATATGGGTGGATAGGGGTGTTTTTGTTAATTTTTTAACTTTTTTAGGGGTATTTAGTTAAATTAATAAACTAAGAGGTTTAAAATTAATTAAATAAAATAAAATAGGATTATAAGAATAGGGATACAAATGTGTATTTTGGGTTTGGGGAGGATTGAGATATGATCGTGTAAAAATAATTAAAGAACAGACCCTTTTACGTCCCCTCATATGAGTCATATCGTATTTATGCTCCTATTAATAGAAGTAACGTACTTTGCGTCTACTAGATCGCAATTTTTGCATAATTAAGTCAACCCTCTTATGCTAGCTAAGTAACTAAAGCACCCATTATTATGCTAAATATTAGAGCCTCGCCCCATTATGTTTACTTCATGAATGACATTTTTTCCTTTGAACATAAGTTTTAAAAACTTAAATACTATCCTAAAACTTATCAAATTCATAGTTATGAACCAAAAACTTAACAAAATATTTTGTTAAACATACAAACTTCAAAAACTAGCAAATAAAAACCCAAAGAATCTTTGAGTGGGAGAGTTGAATTTATTTATTTATTTTGGGAATTGTCCCACCATTGAAATTGTCTCTAAAATTTGGAATAATAGTAATAACTTGTAAATCCCGCACGAATAATTTGTACCATTTTAGGTGAAGAAATTCCGACCCAAAAGGAAAATGGGGTTAATTTCCCTTTTAGATATGTATACAAGACTGCTAGTAAACTTAACATATAAAGCTGAAAATTTAAAAGATTATCATAAACTTGCCTGTTTGGTGCAGTGAAAGCAAACTCAGTCCAACCAACCTCTGGTCCTCGCCATTTAAGGATTCTACCATCGGAAACACCGGCATAAGGGCCATTGTCATTGCAGTCAAAGGCAATGCTTTCGGGACCCAACACACCAGGCAGCTCAAGTTGCTTGTAGTTCTTCAGGCCATCCATGGCGTGATCAGAACATACCATTGCAACAGGAAAAGTGAAGAAGAAGAAGAACATAATGGCGGACAAAGAAAGTTTCTTCTTCATGATATGCATTGTGTGAGGAGAAAGACTGCTACAGGTTTTGATATAGCAGAGTTTTTGGTATTTACAGCCTGACAGGTCTACGTAAATTATTCGTAAAGTGGGCCTCTTCATTCATGACTTCACAATCAATAATAAATTAATATTAACGATAGGAAATGTATTCTTAAAATTAAGATATGAATGATAGGGATGGATTCTATCTATAAGTAGGATAATTTATAATCCCATATTTTTACAGTAGGTATTAGGGAATTAATTCCATTGTACGCTTATTATACGTGTACTTTGTAATCCCAACCTTGAGATTGAGAATTTTTAATTACTTATTCTGCAAGTACTTGAAATATTTGTTAAAACTTATTCCAAGTCTACAATGAGTCACTTAATTAATTCTTCTATTTGTCGTTGGTGAAAATTAGTTGTGTGGAATTGAATCTTGATGCTACCACTATTGGAGTTAAAAACTAGCATTGAATAATAGGGAGGACTCGAGTCGAGGTCATTTCCTTGTAGGTGCATACTCAATATCTAATTAGTATCATAATGTATATTTGATAAACTTTATAAAATAGATTATATGTATATATATATTGGAGTGAATCAAGGAATTTATCAAAGAATGATTGATATGCGGGAGTGAATCCAGGAATGAATCAAGGAATAATTGATATGTTGGAGTAAATCAAGGATTGATTGATATTATATTTAATATCGAATATTACCTTTTCTTGTGTGATTTTAACATTATGACAAATATTGTATTTATTTTTTATTGTTTTACACTTTAGTATAAATAGGTAATATATACTTATACAAAACATACAATTGAATATAAAACTATTCTTCTCCATTCTTTTTCTTTGGCATTCTCAGACAATCTGTGCTTAGTCTTATCTTGCCTCTCTTGTCCTATTTTAACATGGTATCAAAGCTTCCAAGTTGAATAAGCTTTCGTTTAACTAACCTCTCTTCTCTGTCCTTGCAATTCAAACAAATATTTGATTAGGTGTAATTTTTTTTTTTTTTTTAAATGATCATCCCCAAGCTTTGCCAACCCACTCTAGTTTTAAGTTTAGGACAATGAGTAGCTAATTATATGGCTCTATGTATATCTAAGAAAATTCTATCAACAAGACGATAAAAAATCTAAGGAAACTTAGTTTAAGTGGGACTGTTTGTGACCCCTCCAATTTTTCTTGGGAATTTTCCTGATGCATATTAAATCATCTTCAACACTTATTACTATCCTGGGTTATTGAGTTGTTCCACCTACTCTAGCCTTCAGTTTTGCTAAGTTCCAGCAAAACCACATTAGCACTCGGGTGCAGGAGTTTGTTTGTTTGTTTTTTTTTTTTTTTTCAAGGCCTGGACCCACATCAAGAATTACTTCAAGATAACTATTAATCCAGTCGTTTCCGCCCATTAAAAAGTTGAGAACTTGATGGACTCTTCTTAAAGAAGGAAGAAGAAAAGAGAATGGCGTTAATTGTTTGTTATACAATAAGGACAGCGTGTCGTGAATTCAAAAGAGACGAACAGAGGGAGAGAAATTAGGGATTTTGTGTTTTAAGAACAGTAAAACACTGTAAATCTGTTAACTTGTTATAACTTTACTCTCTAAACTCTACTCAAATGTGCTGACATGGCCAGTCTGACTGGCTGGATCGGATAACCCAGGAACCGGCCCTGTGACCGAGTCAAGGGCGGTCCGTTTTAAAACATTGCCTAAAACATATAATGAAAGTCCCAAAACTCATCCAGACACTTAAAAATTCATACAACAAAACTCGTACCAATAATAAATTTTACTATCACAAGTAACTGTATGGTTTACACACCTTTAATTACCTAACTCCGTTTCTGAACCTTAATATATAATCTAGCACAGTGTGTATGAACCCAACACACTGGATCCAAAATCTATTATCAAATACTAAATCAAAAATGATATCCCAGATTCTGGTTGTGTTGCATTGCTCTTAACTTGCCCGCTCAACACGATGGAAATACATACTGGTACAAGTGAAACTCTAAACTTGACGTAAAGTACAGCAATATGAAAAACATAGGTCACAAACAAGGGAAGAGCATACCCAAACCTAAGCATCAAAACTTTCAAGCTTCTTTCCTGGTTATCCTGTCATGTAACAAGGAAAAAACTTTTCAAATGACAGTCCAATTCCAAGGCAAGGAAACAATCTTCTAATCTAGACCTTAACAATGCTTAATACTGCAGCATTATAAAGTTATCAAGATATTGAACATGAACAAATACAATGATTTCCTGGGCTCCAAAAAATTTAATCAATAAATTCCAATAACTAGATCAACAATATATGGTTACTATAAATTTTCTTACCTGAAGCAATATATTCCCAAAGCTGCAGTAATTTCATGAATAACAGATGTGGCAAAGTGGAGATAGAGGCCACTATTTTAGCAAAGAGAATCGTCAGCACAGAGCACAAATATAAAAGCTATGTCACATTAAAGTACTTTCTCTCTGATCATGAACAAGAAACACTTTATGTGAAACTAAAAAGAAAATCATAGAATGTATAAAAAGTTTAATCATAATTTTATGCACATAAAGGAACAATGTTGTCTATAATATTCATATTTAATTACTTCTCCAGAAAGAAAATTTAATGAGATTACTAGGTCAACTGACCAGGCTGATACAAAACAGAGTTTCTGGAAGATGCTGTATGAAATGCAGATTCACAGGATATTCTCAACATGCAATTGCTTAATAATTCAATAATACTATTTACCTAAATACACAGTACCCAGCAACCCCAGCATTCATCAACTAATGGAACTCTGCAACAATGAACAAAAGGTGTCCATAAATGAAAAGAGCCAACAGTCCAGTCTAAGTACTGACAAAAAATGGCCAGTGAATACACTAAGTAAACCAAACTTCAACACACCCATCATTTAGTCTGGCAGTAAGTGCATTTGCAATGGCAAGGGAAGATACAATAGTGACTGCACAAGTAACACAAAAACTTAGAAACCCCAATTTTGATATGAGAATTAATCCAAAAACATGCAGGGCATGTAATGTTATCAAAATTCAAACACTTCAAGAGAACAGGAAGTAGAAAAAAATTGTTTTCCATCTATCTCTGAAACGTAAATAATCTGTAGTCCCCAGTAACAATGAGTAACAACAAAAAGGAAAACTATAAATCAATTGTGCAAGAAAGTGAAAAGAATAAATTTCTCCAATAATTCTAAAAAGCAAAGCGCTGGTCTCATAAATCAAGTGAATGCTACATACCATGCACATGTTAGTTTTCAGTCCCTTGGGTTCATCACACAAATGAGCCAGAATCATCCTTCCCTATCAACATAGTTTTTAATCACAACAATCGAACAACAATTCAATCATATACTGAAAAGGAAATTTCAACAAAAGAAAAAGGAATATATATAACACACACACACACACACACAAAATTTCTTACTTGAATAAATTTATGAAAAGCAAATTTTTGAGTAAATGTGTTAATAAACCTTAAGCAAAACCTTCTTTTAATTTTTTTTTTATTTTCGACTTCCAAAGATTATATATAAATTTTCATAACTTTGATCAGACCTAACATAAGCTAAAGTCAACCAAAACTTAAATCAAGTCACATTACGTTGACTTTTATATAATAACAAAAAAAAAAGGTAAATTTTCTTGGTATAAACATAGATAGTAACTCAAATTTCTTTATAATTTTGAGCAGCTAAACGGTGACGTTTGATATGTAAGAAATGGTAGGTGAAGGTAAAGAATAACGTCCTTTAAAATATAGTTAAGATTTTAATTTGGGAAAGCAAGAACTTCTTAGAGACAACAAAAATAACTCACAAACCATGTCTTTTTCCCTCAAATTAAATAAAAACATCCAAAAATAAGCATGATTCAACTCTAAAATAAATTAAATTGAAATGAGCAATATACATACCAAAACTAATAAAACGAGAACGGAGTTAATTGTGGTACCTTGAGTAGTGAAAGGTTCAACAATTTTAGTCTTCAAAAGTTTTAAGAGCGAATAGCATGAGAAGAGAATGAGAGAATAGAGTAAAGAATTTTAGAAATAAAATCATAAAAAGCAAGCCGAGCCGTAGAAAAAGATGGGAGAGAGTTTTAAACTTTTATTATGATGTGGACTTAGAATAATATATTAATAGCAAGTTTTTTATGGGCTTGGATATATGTAAAATAGTTCTCATTTTCAAAAAATTTGAGAGTAGGCCTAGGCATATATATTGTAGCAATTTTTTGTGGGCCTATATATTAGTATTTTTTTTTTTTAATCCCCAGCCGCCGCGCGCACACACCACAGAGAGACACACACACAAGTCCCATCATATATTCCTAGTGATGCACAAACTCCAAGTCAGGGCACCATGACTCATACCACAGAACAGACCCACCAATCGAGACATCATTAGTTCGGAAATGACAGATACTAGAAGGCCTATAGCAGCAACAACACACAATGAGCACATTATTTGTTTCTTCCATTAATGGCAACAGGCAAACGATAATTTGTTTCAAATGTAACTTGACTTGCAATAATGAATATATATCAAACATTCAAAGAAGTTAAGAGAGTCTATGATGCAGCAACATAATGTTATATCTTACCACAAGGAACCCAAACGCAAGTCCAGTTCCCAGTACAACTAAATGTGGATAGTTCCTCATTATATCAGAAGGAGACAATAATCCCTGCATAAGAAAACGTATCCTGTATAAAGAATGCAAATATCCAGAACTAGTGTTCAACATGAGAAACAGTGGGCAAAAGCTGAGGTATACCATAAGCACTCCTCCGATAAGTACAACAAGGGTAAGCTGTCAAGAACAAACAACAACACCTAATAAGCATATTGGAATTACGAATCAAGTACCAAACTTAAGAATTACCATTGCCAAAGCCAGTAACATGCTTCCTTTTCGTGCATGAACGACATTGTAGA